TTCCTTCCTTCCTTCCTTCCTTCCTTCCTTCCTTCTTTCCTTCCTTCCTTCCTTCCTTCCTTCCTTCCTTCCTTCCTTCCTTCCTCCCGCCTTCTCCACTCTCTCCAAGCGCTGTGGGGTTTTCTGTGTTGTGGATCACAATGGGGGCTCTTTCATACTCCCTCCCTGGGAGGGGAACCTAGGGGAAGGCAAGATAGGGCGATCCCCCCCCCACTTTGGAACGATGTCCCTCCGGGAGAGCAGTCTCGGGGGGCCCGGAGAGCCGGTAGGGTCCCCTGCATGGGGGGGGGTGTGTGTCACTGGAGGCCAGGCAGCTGTCTTGGGGGGGGGGAGCTTCAATTGGGATCCCTACCCAGAGTGGAGGGAGGGGGCACTGGGACCCCGCAGCTGCCAGAGAGAATCCTTAGAGAATCCTGAGATCAGATTGGCCTGGCATGATCTGTTTTCGACACACCCGTGCTGGCTACTGGTTATGACTTTGTTTGCTTCTAGTTGTTCGCAGATCTGTTTTTTGATTATCTTTTCTAGGATCTTCCCAGGTATTGATGTTAAACTGATTGGTCTGTAGTTTCCTGGGTCTGTTCCCCCCCTTTCTTGAACTGGAAGTTTTTAAGAAGAAACTGGACAGCCATTTGTCCGAAATGGTATGGGGTTTCCTGCCTGAGCAGGGGGTTGGACTAGATGACCTCCAAGGTCCCTTCCAACTTTATTTTTATTTTTATTTTTATTTTTATTTTTATTATTATTATTATTATTATTATTATTATTATTATTATTATTATTATTATTATTATTATTATTATTATTATTATTATTATTATTATTATTATTATTAAGATGGGAAGCACATCAGCCATTTTCCAATCCTCCGGTACTTCCCCGGTAGTTCAGGATTTGTGGATGATGTGGTTCTGATATAACATCTGGTATCGGTTGCCTGAGAGGTTTGGGAGTGTGTGTGTGTGTGTGTGTGTGTACGTGTGTCCGCAGTTCCCCCCCCCCAAATGGTCCAGACCTGTGGTGGGGGTGTTCCTGCCCCCAAACTGAGCCGGGCGAGCCCAGGAGGAGCCCTCAAGCTCTGGCTCCGCTTTGCTCTAGGCTCCCTCTGGGAACTGAAAGGGCATCTATTCCACCCCTCCAGACACACAGAGAAAAGGAGGCTCTGGTTGAGAATCACGAGGGTGGGGGCGTAAAAGGAAGTCCGCCCTCCTCTCCGGAGCTGGCATGAAACGCCCCCCCTAAAATGCAGCCCCCCCACCCCGACTGAAGGGATTGTTCCCCCCTCCCAACTTTCTCCGCTTCTCTCTCTGCGCCGAACTATCTCCTCTATCGGACGAAGTCAAGGGAGGCTCTGCCCGGAGACCGATGACGCTGCAGAATGGAGAAATCC